TAGCGGAATAACTATAGCGCGTTTCCACTGATTGGGGAAATATCCCCTCTCTAAACAGCAGTTTATAATATGCGTTAAGTAGACATCAATTTCAGGTATACATAGTAGTATCATATCCAAAGTTATTTCATCTGTACCACTAGAATTTGATTTTATTTTATGTATTAATTTTAACAACGGTGTCAATAGTCACTTTATTAAATTGAAATTTGAATTTTGTGTTATTTTTATTAGCTCGGTAATATGCAATTTTATCAGCACAAGCCAAATCACTATTCTCGAAAATTGAAATGAATGCCTCATTTATTTTATACGGATCCGACAAGCTCACGGAATTGCAGAATCTTCCTGAGATTGTACTTTGAAAGTCTTTAGGGTCTTATAAAACTTTTTTATATCCTGATTTTGAACAGCTTGTAAATAATCTCTTTTTCCTCTTCGCACGAGCGTTAATGCACGATTTCTGAAATATGTATACTATTGCCAAGAGGCGGCTGTACGATCACGTTTGAACTTTGACAAAGCTTCAGCCCTCTGCCTGAATACAAGTTTAATATTATCATCCAACCAAGGAGCTGGAGCTTTGTTTACACGCACTACCTTTTTTGGACAGTGAACATTAAATAAGCATAAAATACTATCTGTTAAAAAGTTAATTTTATCTTCAATGTCATCTATCGATATAATATGCCACCATGGAAAACTCTTGAGATCTTGTTCAAACGCTATTTCATTTAAACTATGGAAATCCCTGAATGTAACAAATTTCTGTTGATTTTTAGGAAGTGCAATACGTATATCACAGAAGGTTAAATAGTGATCAGTAATCATATCAGCATTAATAGTGCCACTCCTAAGACAACTTTCAGGCTTGCTCAAATAAATAGGATCTAAGAGAGTGAGTGTCGATTCAGTTATTCTAGTCGGTTCAGATATCACCTGTTCAGATTATAAGAATCAAGGCATTTAGTGAAGTTGTTACAAACTAAAAGCAAATCAACATTGATATCCCTGCAAGGATGATATCATCATATTCAGCTAATATGGCAGGGCAACATGTTATCAAAGGTATTACCGGCTTCTGTAACAGAGCTATGTGGGGGCCGATAGAATATACCAATAGCAATTTTTTGTTTTGGAAGCTGCACCTTCAACCATATATATTCAAGACTTGGGTCTTGCCCAAATGAAATTATGGAAGAGTTGTAGTGGTTGTTTACAAAGACTGCAACCCTTATGGTTCCAGGTCACCTTTAATCTTCATCAGAGGTAACATGAACGCGCAGCGTTATATCCACGAAGTTCTAGAACCCCATCTTTTACCCTATCTTGACACCCTGGCAGATCCAACTTTCCAACAAGATAATGCCCGACCACATGTTGCAAGAGTCACAATAGACTTCTTTCAACATAATGATGTCACATTGTTACCATGGCCACCAAGATCTCCCGACTTATCCCCAATTGAGCACGTGTGGGATATGATGGGTAGGAGATTGCTCAATTTGCAACGTCCTCCTCAGACTCTAGAAGCACTTCGAGAGGAGTTGGTGGTTGCCTGGAATGAGATACCACAGGACGACATTGACCACCTGATCAGAAGCATGCCTAGGCGCGTTGGAGAATGCGTAGCACATCAGGGTGCATCCACACATTATTAAAGGTCAAAGGGCTTTAAAGCAGTGCAATCATTTTGAAATTTTTATCATTTACTTATTATGATTCATTAAGGACTTATACAAAATTTTATTAAAATAAAACCATTTAAACTGGGTGTTCGGATTTATATGTCACTTAGTATATATACAGTCGCGGTAACTCTTACTCATATTCGCGATGCCAATAGGAAACCTAACTTGTTATCTGAACATAGACATTATTTACCTTATGATTGGCCAGAAGTATTATACACCATGTTTTCGAGAGATTTTTGGATGAGCTCTTTGAGTGTAGTTCTCGAGGCGCCATTTAGCAAAATTCAAAGGGCCTCTTGACTCAGCATTTATATTTCAGCAGATATATTTTCTGGTCGAGAAGCTGTGATACTCTTAGTTATGGGTGAAGCTTCACCCAGGCAGCAGTTTCCAAAAATTTCAAATTAATATTTTGGTTAGGTCTACAACATTCCTTCAACTATCTATATTATGCTGCAACCACTTTCAAATAGCATTTAGCACGTCGCTTTATCTTAATAGAGATACTAATGAAGCCAGGTGTCGTTGACATATCTAAATTTCATTAGGAATTAATTGATTCGCACTTAGAGCTTAATAAGTTCAAGATGTATATAAGACGTGAATTTATAGCGACATATCCGTTCAAGATGTGGTACGTGCCTACGTTAATGGGCTCTCGTATCCGTCCTTGGACTGACTATCCAACTGAAGGTCCGAGTGGTGTTCTGCGATCTCTTTCATTACCATTCCTGGAACTGAAATCCTGAATAGCGGAAAAAGCACAAATGCCGTAAAGAATTTGAATAACTACCACATTGACAATCCAGCGAATCCATTTGGCAGAACCAAATAGTGGTAAGAGTCATCAGCAGTACTTAAGGTAGGATCTTATCCCAGCCAGCAAAGTGACGTTACAAGTTTTTTATAAAAGAAGCCGTAAAACCTCCTCTTTGATGTTTTGCCAGAACTCCGAAATGCTGTTTATTGCTTCCCGCGGCATATTTAATTCAAAATGTGGAGATTAGAACATTATTGTATCATACTGATCGAACACGTTATGAGATAAATAGATAGATGGTTGGGTAAACCTTTATACAACTATTTTATACGGCATATTAGCTCGGTAGTCAAAATGGTTGTGTTATGGCAACCATGGTAACATGTATACAACAAACCCGCAGGGTTATTACGTAAAAACCTATATAATGTCAAAAAAGATCTAAAAAATGTCAAGTTGTTGACTAAGTAGGCTAGTGTGCAAATAGCGCTTCCTACAAGTGAGCATGAAGTAAATGACAGTTAGTTCCAAGTCAGGCTACCTACCTACCTCATGTCAAAAAAACGACATAATGTCACTTTTCAAGTTACGTAATACCACTGTCGAGACTTTTTGTTTTTGTGAGCAAAATTGCTAATTTATCCAGAAGTTGCTCCAAACGGAAGCATTCATACAACTGTCGTTTAGTAACTGTCAAAGGCTATACATCTGCAACAATATCACAACTTTTATAGTGCGCAATTGCTGTGCTTCGCATATATGCTTAATTATACAACCTCACTGCAACCTAAGTTTCTGCTGTCATCTTTTTAGGTTAAATGCCATAATCTACATTTTTCTTCTTGAAGACAAGCAACGCATAAATATTCGTTTTATCAAATTTTCAGTAAGTGTAGATCTGGTATAAATTCTGAGTAAAGCATTCAACTCTGCCCTTATTTCATTTCAGAGATTTGCCAAATTCTGTTTAGCACCAGCGGATAACACCAAAATGTTCTAATATACTCGTACCAAAGACAGTATGGAGAATGCCATAATTATAATATAATCCTCCACCCGCCACATTGGGTAAACAATTTAGCCCTCTGCTGAAAGTCAAATAATTGTTTCAATCCCATATTACAGATAGAAAAGGATAATAATTAGTATAATTGTGCAATTAATATAAGATTTGTGGAAGATTTAACGCAGATAAGCTCAGATTTCTATCTTAAAAGTCTAGACATAGTTTTCATCATTATTAAAATTTGAATCAATTACGAAGCCCATAGAAATCCCGTCACTATTTTGTACGGTAATCACAATAAAATTTGCTGCGCAAGTAGTTCAATAGCCCAATATCACAGTGTAGAAGCTTATCATAAACCCGTGTACGAAATTCACAAAAGCCGATATGACAGTAAATAAGATGAATGTGTTTGTAAGTATTCTTCGCCTCGTCTATACAAGGTATAAAAAATATTTCAGTTGCAATAAAGTGGTATCATGTAACAGACTGGTAGTATAGCTGACAAAAATTGAATCCTTCACTGACCCAAAGGTTCAAGGCCCTCTAGCGAATACACGAGTGTTTACGCTTTTGCTGTATAACTGTTACCTGCAACCCCACAGAAGTGTCCTATTAGTTGAGCCCAGTCTGCTTGTATAGCTGTTCTATGTTCTTTCAACCTAAGCTGTTATGTAAAGAATATTGTATAAACCGTTCTCGCAATCCTAACGATAATTATTGTTAGTTGGATCCTAGCCTTAAACATACATATATACTCCGACTCCTTCACAACAGCTGCACCACAAACAAAATATTGTAATGCCTGTTCTTGCATAGTTTTTTAACAGATCATTCGTGCAATTTCTACAGAAACTCAATATTCTTATAGCTTCCCTATTTAACTACCTCGGTCAAATCGAACGTTTATTTGTAAACTAGTATATTGAGTCTCAGGTGCATTTTACTACTCATTATTCCTTCATTTCAGTGGATTGATAGCGTTTTTAGTTTTCTCTTCAATTGATTCCGATCGGTGTCTATCACGTCTGGATGTGTACATGTAAAACTCCACCATTCGAGAAACTATGCATCAAGTTTATTATGGTGTATTTAGCATCATCATTATCATCATTATAAACACTCATATAAAACAAAGGACAAAGCATTTCTCCATACAATCCTTCCCGGTTCGCTATGGCAAACCCTATGGACAAAAATTTAATCAACAGCTGATACATGTATGGATCAAATATTTTTTTTCGTAATATGATCATTTTAGAGTATCAGCATACTTAAACGTAAGAAGAAATAGCAAATCTGTTCTTCTGTCAGTTGGAGGTTGACTTGATCAGTGAATGTTTGTTGAATTTCAAAAGCAAGATATCACTCGAGCTCGGTCGCTGATGAAAGGGTCAAGATAAAGGCGTTGAGAATCTAAGATATAACAAGCAAAAGTCTCCAGTATATCATTATTTACTACGTTTCTAGTTTCAATACTTCAGATTACTTTTTTACAACTACCATAAGCAATCTGCCCAGACCATAATATTGCTGTCGGTCAGTCCATCAACCGCGTTTCTATGAGCACAGTGTCCAGGAACAATAGACAGTGGATGCCGGGCAGATCAATGACCTTGAGAAGCGCATTTGCACGACACTCTGACGCCGTACTGCCCAGCACTGCAGTATCACAGCACAGACTGTACTGAAAGTTATGTAAAGGATGCCACAGAGCGAGGCTTGGCCGGACAGGGTGCTGACCGAATGCGGATGTTTAGTTGTTGGCACTTTCCCTGTCGTCGCAGATATGCTAGCTTTGCCGAAGAGCTCAACAGTATCAAAACCTAGGATTTAGTAAAAATACAATAACTGGTTTCACAACGGATCAGTGTATTTGCGGATGAATGAAAAAGCCTTTAATCCAGGGATACAACAAATTTTGCTGGGTTTCTCATTAAACGTCAATGTTGGAAAAGTCACTCTTTCATATACCGGATGTCCAGAAGTCGATATAAAGCTGAAAACGGTAGGAGTATTACGTATCTCAAAAGTGACATTATGTCAGTTTTTTGACATTATATAGGTTTTTTGTGACATCATGTAGGTTTTTCTACAAGGTGTGAACTTAGCATTAGATAGTGTACAACTGTTATGTACTTGTTCGGTAGCTGTACGTGCTTCCTAAACGTCATGATGCTTTAGCTATCAATGTTTGGGCTTTTATGTGGTGTAACATCTGTTTCAGAGATGGCATTATTGGAGATCTAAGCTGTAAGTTGTATACTATAGCTGGAAGGTAAAGGCAGTGCATAGATGCATAGTGACGATTTGTGTGCTAAGAGTCCTGTGTTGATGATAATTCCAATCGTTTCTTTCTTGACTCAATACTAACTGAGATGTATGCAAAGCTAAAAATTAGTTGCGCATCCGTGTTTTCCTATGTATCCTAGATATTGTACGAGTATATGCAGATTTCAAAGAAGAGAGCCACAAGAAAGAAATCCCTGGTTGCTGAGGTATGTAAAAACCAACAGGTAAGAAAATATGGTTCATACAGGAGTATTTATGAAACGCAAAAAAGTTATTACATTCTCCATATTAATTCTTATTTTCAGTCTTTCAAATTTTATAGATATTTATTTTCGATGTCAAGTAGCAATACAAATCAGCGCCCAGTGCGAAAATGTATGTTATGCGTCATTCTTAATTTTTCTGTGATGTAGCTTAATTACACACAACGCGGGTGCGATGATGATATCCCGTAAAACTCATGAGTGTTTATGAAAACGCAAAAAAACTGGGAAAATCGTAGTGTAGGAACTATCTAGGCAGCAAATTGATATTTTGTCCGATTTTATTTTGACGTTTTATAGGTTCTTTACGTAATAACCTTGCGGTTATATCTAAGCATCTTACATCTAAAAATTGCAATCTATGGCTAAGGTGTTTTGTAGAAAGGCTCCGTCGTACCAAAATAACGCTTTCTATAGATAGATGAGTAAATTATGTCCTTCAAATACGGTTCTCAAAAACTGAAGCAATATTTAGTTGGTGGTCTAATAGAATAAACATGTGATAAGCTGTCATTTTCGTTTCAGAGATGCAAACCTGAAATGGAATCTGTGATAAGTTAGTAAGGGTTTTTTCATATGTACAACTATATTCAGTATCAGCTGTTACCTTTCCATGCTTGCTCTCAAAGCGCACCTTACTCTTGGACCTCTTCTTCTGCTTGTTAGCCTTCTTCTCTCGCCTAGCCACACACTCATCCACAATATCCACAATTTCAGTCAACTCTTTGCGCAACGCAATGTCCCGCGCAGTCTCACCCTGTTTGTTGCGCACGCACTTATCACACCCGGCCTCGAGCAATATCCTAGTAAGCTTGCGCCGGCCCATCGCAGCGGCGATGTGCAGGGCCGTATCGCCGTTTTTATTCTGTTCGGACACTCGGCACTGACCGGATATCAGGATGCGCGTCACGCCCGCGTGACCATATCTGCAACAAAGAGACAATAGATTAATTAAAATTTACGCATTTGGAAAAAAATGTTCGCCGACAACACAAAGTATATACAGTGTGTCCCAGATTCGCTTCTCTATACAGGGATCTCGGCTCCCGTTATACCTACAGCAAAAGTTGAATGAGGAAGGTTTAGAGGATACTTAGTGCTTTCGATAGCCGGCTTCAGATTTACGATCGGTCGATTGGTTTCGAAAATATCAGCGAAAAACCGAAAATGTTGGAATTTCTTTTTGTCAGTAAATCCAAAACAGTTAATTTGACAGCTGTCAAAATGTGACGCTATTCGGACATTTTTTAAGAAGATAGATAGCATGTGTGACATGTCTCAATCGTCTTTTGTTTTCCAGCAACCGGCCTCAACTTTCATTTTCTTATGGCCGCCATATTGGACTTTTTGATTTTTAAAAAGACTGTAAAATTTCCTGTCTAGTGATGTCTCACAAGTGCATGAAAGGTTGAAGTATTACCGAAATATCATCACACGTAATGTTAAGTATTAGTTCTCTAAGAAGGTCATGATTTATTTGACAGAAAATAACAAGGCATAAAAAATACATAAATGCCATGAATTTTTAATAGAATATTAATATTAACTTCTCAACAGGTCAAATGTTGTGGGACAAATTCCCAACTAAGTGTTAAAAAAAAACGTGAGAAAAATCGTCGTAAATTTATTTTGCACTTGAACAAACAGATTTGCAAAATAACGTCCATTTGGATCCAGAAATGTTTGGCAGTTGGTGACTATTTTTCGTACAACCTTAGCTAAAGTACACCTATTTCTGTTAACGCTTCTAGCTGTGCTCGAAATTTTTTGTCTCAGGATTTCTATGGTCGCGGGAGGATCAAATTCATAGACCTCATTCTTTGTGTGACCCCAGAGGTGTAAATCCAAGGGTGAAAGGTCAGTGGATCTAGGAGACCAAGATATTGAACCATTTAATGAAATTATTCTTTCATCATACAGCTCTCTTAGAAGTTCCTGACTTGAATGGTGTTGTGAGCCGGACATCCATCCTGTTGAAACTAGGTTTCTTCTAAGCTCATCTTCATTTAGACTAGCTCGTAAAGCCGGCACAACCCGTTTCGCAAGAGCTCTAGGTACCTCTGTCCGTTTAGGTTGTCGTCAAACAAAAATGGTCCTATAAGTCGATTTCCTAAAATGATAATACCTACCTAATTTCAAACGTTAGTTCCAAACCTGGTCTGAAGACATCTCTCTGCCACTCCCTGAGGCTTTTCCACAGCCCAATGATGAGTGTTGTGCTTATTAAGAACTCCACAATTCGTAAACCTACTCTGATCGGACCACAAGACATAATTTACAAAATCAGGATTTTCATTAGACTTCCGAGTATACCACTCACAGAAGCGCATTCTCCTTAGAAAATCAGTTTCCTCAAGCCCTTGAACTATTATAGGTTTGTATGGATGCAATTTTTGCTTCTTATTTATAAGATAAATTGAGAATCTCCAATACTTTTTTAATTGAAACTTAAATGTTATAATTAACTAATATCGTTTGGTTTCTTAAATAGACTACTATTTTTCTAAATTGGGTTTTAAAAGGCTGCCGCCGTTCCGGGTACATTTACAAGTACCTTGCTGAGGTAATGTCGGCGTTTCTGTGTGACTGCAAGTACAGCGCTAACATGTCAACCTCTTCTTCATTTGAGTACGGAATACCGTCCAGTTTCATCAGATTTTTTTTATGATTTTAATGAGGAAAAACGTACCTACTACTTATTAAAACACAATTTTAGTACTTTGAATTATTTAACGTTTGGATGATAAAAACGCGTTACTTATTAATTTTATTTTCTGACGAATAAATCATGGCCTTCTTGGAAAAAATTAATACATAACGTGCAATGATATTTGTGAGGTATTGCTGGAAATTTTACGCTCTTTTCAAAAATCGAAAAATCGAATATGGCTGCCATAAGAAAAATGAAAGTTGAGGGAAAACAAAAGACGATTGAGACATGTCATGCACGCTATCTTATTTGCCGTAAAAAATCTGTGAATAATGTCACATTTTGACAGCTGTCAAATTAACCGTTTCGGATTTACTGGAAAAAACAACATTCAACAGTTTCTGTTTTCGCCGATATTTCCAAAACCAACTTACCGATCGTGAATCTGAAGCCGGCTGTCGAATGCACTAAGTTTCCTCTAAAACTTTCTCCGTTTAACATTTACTGTACGTATAAGAGGAGCTGAGATCCCTGTATAGAGAAGCGAATCTGGGACACACTGTATAGTGAATTGAAAAAAACCTATGACAAGTTCCCAAGGATGACGCTACGGAATCTCATTTTATCTCGGATTTCTTTTTGTCCGCGAAAATATAGCATAAGGTTGGCTATATTCAGGTAGAATACGTCAAGCAATGGTGTAACCTTTACTCAACAAGTAATATAAGTTCAACTAGATTACATCACGCTCGAGATGTTCCAACGAGAAACTCATATGATTTTACTTGCTCCGCGCTGCTTCTGTCAAAATGGATTTCGCGCTTTCTGACTGAATACAACTTCTAAGAACCTTATCCTCAAAGGACGTGGCGTAACGATATTACCTTCCCTATAAAACATTATCCTTGAGCAACCAGAACACCTGTATAATGCCACCAACTTACCATTCAAGTTGTATACGGCGTGTAGTAGGTATAACTATTGCAACTCAGTAGAGTGCAAAATTAAACAGCTAACAAATATGCTCCAAACGTGAAAAGTTATCGTTGGTACATACATACATTATTTTTATTTTGTTATACCAAGACACTTTGTTAATCCGATTTTTGAACCGTCTAAGATTGGTAGAACTGGGAAAAGCCTCTTGTTGTGAATTGTTCCGCAATCTCGACACCCTAGCGACAACGGAGCGGTCGTATCGGCCAGTTCTGGATGTATAAAGCTGACATGTTTAAGATGGGAGGCCGAAGTTAAGCGGGTCTGTCTGGCAGGCACAACGGGCGGCGAGAGCTCTGAGGCGCAAAGCCCGTTGATGTAGCAGTAGAAGAGAGCTAGATCGCCGACTGCCCGCCGGTGCGAAAGGGTCCCGAGACTGCATGTTAGAAAAGAGTCATCGACCAGTCGGACAGCCCTTCTCTGGACAGCATCCAGCATGAATAGTGTAGTCGGGGCGGCAGCACCCCAAACATGCGAACAATACTCGAGGCTAGGTCTTATCTGGGCCGTGTATAGGGTGAGGAGGTCATGTGGAGGAAAGTACTTCTTGACTGACGACGCCGATTGGTCCACTACGCAATTTGACGTTAGAAGAAAATTGAATTGCCAGCAAACATTTTTCTTCTTACCAACCTAAATCGTGTTATATTTGGATTAGGGTTCTAAAAGTTGAATAACAATGAGATGATGTAGAGTATAGAGGTTTCGAGAGTAACTTCATAAAGTTATAAATCACAGCTGTTGGTGGTGATCTCCGCCGCACTTTATATTTGTATAATTCTATGAAACAAGAGGTTATTCAGAAAACATGTTAGTTGATACTTAGTTTTAACTTATAAATATTAGAAAAACTTTCAATATCAGATGCAGCCGTCCCCAGTGAACGATTAAGTCGAAAGGCACGACGCGTGCCATTACCCAATCTGTTGTAGATAAGCCGAGCTGTTTGTTTATAAATCGAATTTGAAAGAAACGGAATAGGTTCACTCCTATAGCAATAGCGAACATGATGATACAAATTTGTATGTTTGCGTATGTATTTGTATCAATTTTTGGGATGTTAACTGACATGAAGGTGCTTGAAATGTTTTATTGAATGGACAGTGCCTACTTTCTTTAATATTTTTCCTCTATTTCCGACGCCACTGAGCAGGAAGTAATGTAGTAACACCGAATGAAAAGCTAGTGCATGAGGGGGCAGGGGATTTCAAAAATGAGTAGCTCAGGTGCATGACACTCTAGAGCACTGAAACGGTATTGACAGGTGGTGGGTAGCTCCGAGTTACTCTGAGTAACACTTTGGGAAACGAATTTATGTTCAACTAATAGTTAACTTACAGCCTGTAGCAATCAAATGTGATAGTTAGCCTGCTATGAAAAATCGGGCCTAAGATGCATAATGTTTACCTTGCAGCGGTATGCAGAGCCGTATCCCCGTAGTTGTTCTGCACGTCAGGATCACAGTTGGCCAATAGTAGTTCCCTGCAACACTGGTTATGTCCATTCTGACAACAGAGGTGCAGGGCCGTAAAGCCCCCAGCATTGGCTTTGGTCAGGTTAGCCCCAGCAGCGGCCAGTAGCCTCACCGTTCGACTGTAGCCTTTCCAAGCAGCCTCGTGAAGTGCAGTATTGTTGTGCTGGAACAAAACAGTTCGCATAGAACCACAGAAATACATAAAAGTGGGATAACCCCCTTTTCAAGGTTTGCGAAATCATCAGAATTTGGTTTTTGTTGTTGCTTAAATACTGGATTTCTCTTGATATGAATCAAATATATGAATGACTTTCCAATAACAGTGAAAGACTAGTTTAGGAAGTTTAGGAAGTTTAGGAAGTGAACTTTTAAAATTTAAACTGAAGGTTAAGAGTACGTTTGCCAATTTTCTACATTTGAAACTTCACTTAGGAGCTTTTGGATCATATGTTATTTGTACATATAGCCGCAAAGTAATCTTGTCAGTACTAATCCAAAAACCAGCTAACCCGGCTTTTCAATAAGTTTTAAGGTTTACAGTCGGAGGATTACGTAACGCTCAATAATGTGCAGGAACCGCTCTGTAAATGAAATAGACAAAAGGTCGAACTTTTTTCCAATAACAGTGAAAAACTATTTAGGAAGTTTAGGAAGTGAACTTTTAAAATTTAAACTGAAGGTTAAGAGTACGTTTCACAATTTTTTACATTTGAAACTTCACTTAGGAGCTTTTGGGGCATATGTTATTTTGTGCATATAGCCCCAAAGTAATCTGTCGGTAACCAAAAATCCAGCAAACCCGACTTTTCGATAAGTTCTAAGCTTTACAATGGGAGGATTACATAACGCTCAATAATGTGCAGCAACTGCTCTGTAAATGAAATAGACAAAAGGTCGAACTTTCGGTCCCTTTGTTTCTGGCAGTTAAGTTGCGATTTGAGACTTAAATAGCCGAATAGTTTTTATCACTACAACTCCACCGGAACAAAATGATTCACCATCAAGTTAGTACCATTCTTTGTGTTTTTTTTTTCAAAAATCATGAACGCCTTCTATAGGGTGAATACTACATTCCATTCTATTGGAGCTGAGGTTTCATCGACATCGTGAGAGTGCTCCGTTTTGGCTGACTTTGACACGGGAGTCCTTCACCACAAGTTCAATTTATATGCCTGTGGGAAACAACTGGAACGTTTTCTTCAATTTTTATGAAACGTGATCACATAGAAAATACATCTACAGACAGGAACAGAGTTAAATCTGTTTATGGATACAATGCCAGCAATATCAAAAAATAGTTCTGAACGAGTCATTTTTTCCAATAGTGTTCGATTATCTTGACTCTACTTTCCACAATTACATAATATAAAAAGTATGTCCTGACAAATTACTCCACAAATGTATCTCATTCACAGAATGTTAGTTTTACCACCCACACGCTTCAATTTAAATACCTCAGTGTGACGGGAACAATAAGTGTGACCATTGCCAAGCTCAGATGTCGTTAATAGATCTAATTTAGTGTTTCATGGTATCCTTTGTTGTCTGTTTGTTGATTACAAAAGACAATTGCATGGAGTACTGCCAACGCCACTTATTATGTTTATGAGAACAGAATGCAATAGAGTTAGGTATTTTGGCGAGGTGGAGGAAAAATGTTGTGTTGACGCCTATTTCACGACATACGCATGGTAATATTCAAGAAATAAAAATATGTTTGTCATTTAGTTATACTTGATATGTTTTAGGAAGAGCTGGTTATAGAACCCGAGACTTTACTTTCCACAACTGGGCGACGAAACAATGCGTTTTACTTAATGCAATGTTGACGTTTGCCGAGCAGCGAGTAAGACTTTGCTGCTCTAGAAAGATGTAGTTCAAGAACATTTAACCTGACAGAGAAAGGAGAAACAAGCATAAATTGACGCAAAATATCGTCGGCTTAAAATTATTATTTCTATTCACTTATAAATAACAAAATATTTCGGATGATTTTGATAGAGTCTATTATTATACTGGTGCCATATTATTATTTATCTGCCAAACGTTAAAGTATTTATATTTACGTTAAGAGGCTGTTTATGGCCCGCGGCATGAAAATGTAACCGTGGGCATAAAGGACCACAGGTCTTATTTAATACGTCAAAGGACATACAAAGTATGTCCAAAATACATACAAAATTTTAGCTAGATCCTAAAATCGAAAATTCCAAGTAGTTTTTAATTAGAATTAAAATTAAAAACAAACTAGTAACGGATAAGTGACAGTTAAAGAGATCCGGTACTTTAATGCTGCATAGCAGTAGATGTAGAATAAATTTGACAGTTCACAATGTTTAATCAACAAGCTATCAAACCTGGCAATCAAGTGAACACTTCAGTCAAACTGACGGTGTCTGAGAGTCCTCCATAATTTATACATATTGACATAGCGCTTGAAAAACCTATTCATAAGGTATACTTATCTGCCTCATTGTAGATATACGTTATAATTAATGGAGATGTTTGGCAAGGTACTGATTTGCGTTTTGAGTGACAGTGATTTATTATACTGACAGATGCTATCATGGTCCGATGAATCAAATATTTTAGTTAGAAACTACTAAACAAAAATGCATTTGCTCACGTGTGTTTAGATTTCCTGTTAAATTTGGTTTTTATGTATTATTTTCTGAAAAATTCAAGGACAAACTCGGCACGTAAAATATGAAGAAATAAATATAGGTCCGAAAATTGACTGTGATCTAAGTCGTCGCCTTTTTGGAGGCCTTAAAATTTTACATTACTCTACAAAATCCACTTATCCAGAGACATCGCAAGCTCAACGAGTTACTACTGGGTCATTCAATTATTACGGATTCTCTCAGATGCCTAACTGTTTGCAAGAATAATTCATCGTCTATGTGAGAAATGATTTCAAGCTTGATGTCAGGGTATTTGTACCAGATGTTTCTGAAAAAGACATGCATTCCAAAGTTTATCCTATTATGAGTAAGATGAATCTTGAACACAGACCTACGCCAGTATATACTCTGGTACCAAAACGGAAGAGATAACTGACAACGGGGCGTGATTTTAGATCCGTCCGCTCCCCTTGGTAGCGGTGAATGATACGATGTGCTACTCTCTTCCGTTTTTGTACCAGACTATAGTATCAGGCCGATTGTAAAACATTACTTTCATGTCGTTGGTAAAAAGTAAGGGTGCGCATTTTGAACTTCTCATACTGTTTACTCTAGGTTCAAGACCAAGATCACTATCAATTAGTTTCTTTGTCACACTATTACATCTTGACCTTTTCTATATTCCACTAATAACTAACGAGGGCATTGTGGAATTTTGGTTATGCTACGTAACGAAAATGTGCGTTGCTTATTTGAGTCAAGCTTTCTGTCTCTGTGTCAGATGTTCTTGTTACTTCAGATAAACCTTTGTACCAATTTCGAGTGGTTATTATCGTGGAGCCTATATACCAGGAGAACCTATGGAAATGCTGTTCATGCTGTCAAAACGACTTTGAAACTTGACACCTGGAATGCCAGTGATGCTTTCTCAGCGTTGCGATGTTGAGAGATTTTCCCCAAAATTTTGGGAATTTTTTGGAGATATAATGTTCTGGATTCAAGTTTTGCGGATAGGAAGCATCTCCTCGCTCTTTGAACCAAACCTAGCTCTTTTTGTTAATTAACTGTGATTTGGGTTTTTTTTTTCTGAAAAGGTGGTATTTCTGAGGAGATGTGTGCTTGTTCTGGAGAATCTCTGTCCGATTCATCCGGTAACTCTGTGCTTTGACAGATCCGCCACTTTCCTTAGTCTAAAATCCGCACGGGTATTATGTAAAAAACCTATAAAATGTCATCTCGCAGGCTAGGTAGTTTTGAGGATGCAAACAGTCATTCCACGTTTGCTCACTAAGATCGTTGTGAGCATCAATCTATAGAGGTATGGCTCAACTACACCACTACACGCATTGTTGGTTGCATAATCAGGTGCAAGTTTTGGGGTCATTTTTTCTCATTTCGTCGGTACTCCTGGTATGTCAGTTCCATAGGTTATCGTAAACAATGGATAGGTATCCACTGAGCGTACATTGACACCGATCTATGCTAAGGGAAGGCGCAAAACTACTTCATTTGCGCTGTATGCTTTCAAGAGCTTAGAGCAGCACTAGTGATCATAGTATAAACATAGTTGTTGGTGTCGCGTTGAAGGTTAAATGGACTAGTTCTGTGACATCACTTGGAACAGTGAAGTCTTAACATGTGGAACAGCGATTAATTAGCGTACAGACTTAAGACATACCACTCTAAACTTCTCTTTAATAGCCCATTTCAGTTTGTTTGCTATTGACATCACCACGATTCGCAGAGTTTTTTTTCTCAACTTGAAGTTGAGCAAGCATCGAATACCATGAAGAGCTCAACACCAAGTATCTTAGTTGTTTGAGTATGTTGTAGCACTGTGCCATGAATAGTTAACTGGAAAGAGTCTTCAACGTTTCTTCTTTTATGGTCAGAGCAAAACCTTATGTAAATCTATTTGCACAGTGGGTGATGCATATTGTTTTGAAATGATAAATTGTGTGCATGATCTCGGCGAAACTTTGTATTTCTGAATTTCCTACAGCTTTATGTATGTTGCTGATCAATCTTATTTGTGTTGGGGACATGCACAAACTAACTTTCAGGTTTTATAAAATAACGAAGGTCGAAGCCAGAAAAATACCTACCACGCTATCGCACCCGTCGACGTCCGCTCCCCTGGCCAACAAAAGTCGCACGACCTCCTCGTGTCCGTCCGCTGCGGCGGTCTGCAACGGAGCGCAGCCGTCTCCGTCTGGCGCGTCTGCTTCTCCGGGCGCCGCCACTGCCAGCAGGAGTCGCACCACGGTGGCGCGACCCGCGGCCGCCGCCAAGTGAAGGGCAGAGCGACCGCGTTGGTCGCGCGAAAACCGCACGCATTGCGCGCCGGCGAGTAGCCTGCGACATGTTGCGGCATCGCCAGCGAACGCAGCGTGACGCAGCTGCTGCTGCGCGGCTGTCGAGGCCGCCGTCGCAGAGACGCCGCCGCTGGGACGGCCACAGCTCATCCCCAGCCATCAGACATGCCACCTGCAACAACAGAAATTCTAGTTTAATTCACATATTAGATTTTCTGGAGCTAATTGCAAATTTATAAAGGCGCACATGTTTATCCCATTATACGTCATCTGAAAGAAGACTTAAAGATCTCAGTTACTATCAACATAAAGAATTTTAGGCAGTGCTCCCTACGATTCTGTACAAACCCTGAGCAGTGTTTGGTCCAGCCTATAATTGACTCGAAACCTTAGTAGGAGTCTCCTAGTAAAATACCGTTGATTAACGTTAGTCCCCCATGTGTGTCTGGTCAATAAAACTAGATGTATTTAAAATTCTTTTTTAATATACATAGTAAACGAGTTAATCACAAAGGAATGACATATCTTTGATTTATCTGTCTTCCAGATGACATTTTGTTTGTTTTCTTTTCATTATCACTGTTTTGTACAGTGTACTACTACAACTGTCTGAAAGTCCAGAACATGCTGAGATTGTGCGAAGTCATCAAAGATGGGAAGACCTCCTGGTGGAGGCATGACCAAAAAGATGAACGTTCAGCCCTCCAAACGACAAGTCAGTATGTGGCTATCTATCGTTCTTTAATATGCCATCCCGTCCGTCGTCCCCGAAAACACCAAAAACACTCAGACTATTGTAGCAACACACTGTATAGGAACCTGATAATGAAAAGAGAAAACAGACGAGCTGTCACCTGGAAGAGAAGGAAACCAAATATAGTATGTAATTGAACTGAAGATGATTCCCTTTGTAATTGAAACGTATACTATATTGAAGGAGAAGTTTAAATACATGTTTCATTGGCTAAACAAAGGTCTATCGTCATGAAAATCATGAGACAAATCTCATAAAGAGAAAGATGGACCACCGTATACTGTATTCCTGTACCCAAAAAGGAATATAATGTATATATATATAACTTGAGACGTGGTCATTGTCGTCTAGACCAGTTAGGTGAAAAATTAAAGCTTCCGCCTTTTGTGGGTACTTCGACAAAATTTAAGCAAAGAGGACTCTTTATACTTTTTTTAATTCTCTCTAGCTTTCAATGGACTTTGCCATCATCATCAGGAGCTGCAATTACAATGATAACAGTAGCAACAAAGGTGTAAAATGAATTTAAATTGACTCAACTTACAGTAGTATGTGAGGATGTTGCTAATTGTTGTTTACGTATAGGATGAGGGAAACGTCCAGTAACATGGTGAGAGCTGGATAGATTGTACAGTAGTCAAACTTATATAAAATATGACAAGAACAAGTTAAAAACAGATTAAAAATTATTTAAAAAATTAAAGCATTACATCGTGAAGCCACTTGATGATTGCACAAATTAGTGGTCATGGAATGATGAGTGACATGAAACCCTTTGACAGAAGGCCGAAGGATGTCAATGTCAGTATTGAAAGATGGAACGAATTGTGGGCGTGTGCCAAAACGTTGCCAAATCACTTCAGATGATGAGATTTTCAGAATTTTATGTTAGAATTTGTTAAACCGACCAGAGGCAGTTGAATAAACTATATTATTATTAATGGGAATTTAAATTAACAATTATTAATAAATCGTGAGGAGAGAATTATTATATTTTGAGTGGAATGAAATTTACTGGTGGAATCGGCCAAAACACAGATTCTAATTATGGTTGTGAAGAGTTGAAATTTGGGG